TCAAAATGCAGGTATTTTCGAGATCAGCAATATAGGGTTGGAAAATGCTTTTTTTTTTAAACCTATCAGTAAAGTGTGTTCATGTTTGGACGTTCTTCACAGAAAATGACTTCTCAAGGCAACAAAAACTGAATTAACATCCTCCTCACTTTAAAATATCAATAGTCTCTTTTTTTAAGATAATCTATGTAGTTTTTATTAACTCTGCAAGTTGAGATAAGGCATACTAGGCTTATTTTAAAGGAATCCTTTCAAAATACAGCCTTTTAAAGACTGTAGTTTTGAACATAACAGATCATTCTAATCTTAACACTGTTAATCTTGCAGCACGCAGTTTACAAATCAAATTACTTTAATTGAAAATTCAGATTAGACAGGTACTGTGCAAATGAAGATGTCTAGAAAGTGAAATCTGAGTGACAGCTCTGTCAGTGATTTAATTTTTTTGTGATGATTATTTGTGAAAATAATATCAGTATGAATGATACAGGATCAGTTTATTCATGTTCTTCTCATTCTGTAGCCTGGTGTAACTGTTACTGTTTCTCTGTTACTGTAATTTATTTTGATACTATACATTCACTTGCGTACTAGGAACAGGGAAGGAAATGTTGCCTCAAGAGGAAAGAACTGTGGTATCTCATGTATGTTTTTTCTGCTCAGCTCCTGTGATTTCCTCCCTTCCCCGATAATGTTTTTATACCACCACTCACTCTCATTTCTTCTTTTGACTTTTCTGAATTTCCTGTTCCTGAAACAAAAGCCAGTTCTAAATTATAAGAGTAATAAAAGAATTCCTTTCTCTGTTGCTGCCCCTGCAAGCAGCAGGCAGCAGGAGGTGTGGTACCGCTGCATGGTCAGCAGCCTTTCAGTCTTTGAAGGAATTGCTTTGCTGTGGGCAGCTGGAAAACACCAGCCCTCAAGGAGCCCTGTACGAGTGTCAGAGTTCTTGTTCTGAGTAGTATTGATCTCAGCAATACTTGAAACAAATAACTGTGAGCCGTAAAACCTATCCCAAATTGGTGATGACAGGAAAATGGGGATTAAATGAGTATTTTAGAGGGCTTAGGTATGATTAAAGGTATTCGTAGGCTGAAAACAATGTGAAAAGGAAAGAAATGTCACTTTTGCTGCCGATCTTCTATATTAAGCCTTCTTTTGAGGCAAAATGTAAAAATATTAAAAAACCTTTTCTGAAGGCACTTACAGGTGTATTTGTGTGTAAGACATACACATGCACGCATACGATATACTTTTTGTAGGTGTCTGGTTTTGAAAATAGCTTCAAAACTGCCTTTATAAGGTTTAATTTGGTTGCTCAAATGTAGACATCTGGCACCATTTGAATTTTCTTAGATTTTCTGGTATACTCCCATGGGGCTGACAGATCAAATACCTCTGGGAGACTTATATCTTTCTGCAGGGACAGGGCCAGTGCAGCTTGTGACATCTAGGAGCTACCTAGCTATCAAATGCTGGTGTTGACTTCAGAACAAACTACATAGCTCCTTTGCCTCCATGGCATTGCTTCTGCATATTTATTTTAGTGGTACCTTAGACCTAGCTCGTGTAAGAACACTGTAATTGAAATGTCTTAAGCTGAACCACACCTTTTGGG